CGCCAAGTTGCCCAGGTGGGTCTCGAACCCGTGGGTTCAGGCAATCCACTCACCTCAGCCAACCAAAGCGCGGGATTATAGGCTGCGCCACCGAGCCCGGTTGGCATTCTTCTCATAAAGCTAAATTACTGCTTTTAAAGATCTATCATTTATTCGGAGAATATTCCTTCCATTTAAAAAAATAAAACAGGTACCTCAGTACCTCAAAAAGTTTTGAGTTCTATATCATTAAACCAGGTTTTACTATGTTATCACTTCAAGATCAACACAAGAAATTGGAAGGAGACTTTGGGATTTTCTGTGACATATAACTAGTTCATTTTTACATTTAATAACTAAAGATATTTAAAAAATCCTTGTCAAAACAAGTCGACTCCCCATGAGGCATAATGCAAGAAAATTAATCTGTAAGCTTCCAAAGGGGATTGTTTCTAAATATTTTTTGTCATTGAAAAACAATTTGGAATAAGTTCCTTCAAGTTCTACCAATAAATGATATTCTCAGGCCACCATTCCAGTATTAATAATAAAAAATTTAATATACTTTAATATGGCTTAGAAGATTTTTTTTTTTTTTTCAGAAAACGACCATATTAAATAATTGAATCCTAATGGGAATGTACGAGTCACTACACATATAAACTTAATATTATTTTAAAATTACACTAGGTGAGAGATTTTCTCTGGATGAAAATAACTGGGCTACATCAAATAGGAGGTCATATATATGCCCTTCTTGCCACACTATAGACTTAGTAGCTTACTTTCTTCTCAAATACCATTATCCACACAAACAAAACCGCCTTTTACCTTTGGATTTGGATAAAGATCACTCTTGGAGAGGTTTTTACCATCAGTTCCTGTTAAGATCTTATTGCGAATGTGAACCACAATCTCAGCTACATTATATCTGGGGAAAGACAAGGTTTCCATCTTGGGACTTTCCTTCTAGGCTGAAGAAAGAAAAAAACAAAGATCAGAAGTACCACACTATCAATATGTTCTCATTATCTGAAGTACCATACTATCAGTAGTTCTCATTACCTGAAAACTAATAAATACAAGGACAAACAAGCCAAGGTATTCATAGTAGTGTTAATAATCATCAAATGTCAATAATATTTTATTGTATTTAAAACAAATTTGCATATACGTATCCTAAAGTAACTTTTATTCTAAAGTGACATCATTTTCTGCTAATTTTCCTAATGCTATTCTCTCTCATATGGGAAGAAGGATTTTGGTTGAACAGACAGATGAAAAACCATATGGTTCTCTTTTACGTGTATGGTTCAGGGGACTTAACAAGACTGATCCTGAGAATTAATCCTCAAAGCGAGGTACATAAAAAACACCATCAGCAGAAGCTATATATAAACAATAGTAATATAGGCTAGAAAATACAATTGTATTCTGATTTGACATTCTATTCAATATATACATACTGAGATGGCTAATAAGTTTTAAGATGCAAGTGAGAGAGGGAAAAAAGTAAGAATAAATGGTGTAATTGGCAGGAATTTCTATCATCAGAGTAAAAACTTTAACAAAAAAACCATTTCTCCTAATGTCTTCAAATGGTGGGTTATTTTTGCCTATGTCCTCCAATCTGTCCCTCAGGACACTCTGGCAATGTTTGGAGACATTTTTGATTATCAGGATGGGGGAAGGGGTGCAACTAGAATCTAGAGAGTAAAGACCAAGGATACTGCTAACCATCCTACAGTGCATAGGGTGGCTGCCCACAGCAAAGAATTATCCAGTCCAAAGTATCAATAATGCTGAGTTTAAGAAATCTTGTCCTAGAGCCTGGCATTTAATTGTCTTAATGCCTGTCACAATGTACTGAAATTATGTGTATAGCACACTACACTGTGAGCCCTCTGTAAGGTAAGATCTTTTTATTTTCTTCATTTCTCTCTGTGCCTAGCAGAATAGCAATAGTAACGTTAAAAGAAAGACAATAATAGCAGCATCTGTCTCAGTCACTCACTTAAACACCTGTCTAATTATCTACAGATCCCCTACTCTCCAGTAAAGTGAGCATTCCCAGACACCCAATGTGAATATATTCAAGTTTGCAAACAAACTGAAATGGCCCACAGTTCTGGAAATGTTTTCTCTTAGAATATTAGGGTTAAAAAGAAGCTTTGACAACTTGCCTGACCTCGGATGAAAGTAGGAAGTCATTCTAAAAGATTAAAAAATTACTTCCCAGTTCTGCTTCAACTAAAAGATGATTAACATTCTAAAAGATGATTAACAAGTAACCTCCCAGGTCTGCTAGAACACTTGAAAACATCACAGAACTTTACCTGTACGCTGTCCACTCATATACCTAACCCTGAATTGTACCACACATCTTTAAAATAAAGGAAAAAAAAGAAAATATCACAGAATGTACTAACTCTCAATGCAACATTTCCCCACTTTAGTATGGTTCTAAATTAGATAACTCTTCTAGTGTGTGAAAATATGTTTTGTTGCAATTTTACTTACTAGTCCTATTTCTAGTCACTGTAACCAATCAGAATATATTAATCCTTGTTTACATGACACCACTTCCAAAAATGTGAAGGAAGTTATCACACCTCTGCCAAGCCCTCTCTTCCTAAGGTTAATAAAATGCATGCATGGCTATATATAACTTTATTTATTTATTTATTTATCTTTATTTTAAAGATGCAGAGTACAATTCAGAGTTAGGTATACAAATGTTCATTATGTAGGTATCCTTGTTGATGAGGTGTTCCCTCCCCGCCCAGATCGCCCCCACACCCTTCACAGTTTCCCACTACTACCAAACTTTTTCTTATAGTATTATAATTGTTCAAGGTTCACTTATGAGTGAGAACATGTGTTACTCAGTTCGTTTCTGTACTAGAACACTCAGTACTATAGACTCTAAGTCCATCCAGATTGCTGTGAAGTTCATGATTTTGTTCTTTATGGCTGCGTAAGATTCCATTGTGTATACGTAACTTTAAAATACTCATTTCTAATATTTAGAAATGTTAACATCCTATTTACCTTCCTCCAAAACATTCTGTTTTGTAAATGTCTTCTTAAAATGTAATGTACAAACTGTACACAACACTGCAGGTATGGTTTGCCTACAGTACAGCATCAACACAGTAGGCAATGGCCTCTGCTATAGCATTTACTGATCCACTGAAACTCCAAGAACTTCATCATGACTGACTTATATCAACTCAGGGCTTCCTCATGTTCTTCTTACATGATTGATTATTTGAAACTTAAGCAAGGATTTGTATTTTCTACTATTGAAGTCATAATTACAAGCTTTCATTTTTAAGCTAGGCTCTTTTGGACTCTAGTAGTAGATGTCCCTTTCAGCATAAGTATGCAGGTCGTATTTTCATAAGTTCATATAATGACTGGACCAAAGAAAGACTACAGAAAAAGTCATCTTCCTAAAACAAGCTGCATCTGAATTAGAGATTATCGCAATAGATACCTTAATGATTATCATCACATATCCCTCTCCACTCATATATTTTGCACTCTGCTACTAGATTAATCCTTCTAAAACATGTAATGCATTACGTAACATCTGTACAAAAATACTTCAATTACTCACCTTACCCACCACGTCAAATTCAAATTTTTCTGCTTGGTTTGGAAACCTTTAATAATTGAGTGACCTTTCTTCTCCAAGACAGTCTCCAAACTTTCCCAAACTTCCAACGTTCCCTTTTGGAATCTCCTCCAATATCTAAATGCTATCATTCTTCCTAAGTACAAAGTCGGTTCCAATGAATTCATTAATGTGTGTATGCATGGAGGAGAGGGAGCCAGAGAGAGCCCAGAGACACCTTCCAACTAAGTAGTTTGAGTCCCTAGGCAGGGTAAAGCATATAAATAATTTACTTATATGTAAAGTGACCCTCTGACTGCCTAGAAAGTAGCAGAGATTAACTGCTAATTACTCCTCCGGTTTCTCATTTATTTGCAACACCACGATACTGAGCAGAGTAGGTATTGAAAAGACATCTGTTAACTTTTACACACTTCGTTTTGTTAAAATAAACTAGTCTGTGTAAATCACAATTCCAGGAGGCAGAGATTAAACAAAAACAAACAAAAATGATTCCTAACCTCAGTGAATAAAAAAACTCCTCGAGCTCTTAAAAGTAAAAGATGATAGTGTTAGGCAGGCGTAGTGCCACACCTGCGCTGCTCTCTGCCTCCGACTTTTGGATTAAAGTATAATATTTTTGCCTTTTAATTCATGGTTCTGGATTCGGTTAAGAGACGTCTGAGCAACGGAGGTCTGTAAAAAGTTGACGAAGCAGCTGCAACGGAATAAGCCCCGTTACCAACACCCTTCCAAGTAAATGGGTTAAAAACATACAGAAATGTACGTTTAAATTGACCAGTATCAGCTCAAGGTCTTGCCTTCTACGGTCTTGCTGCACCAGACAACATCCATTAGTTTCGTATAAACTGAGCTCAGTTTGTTTCCGGGACTAAAATCAAACAAAAAGGAACTCTGTGCTCGCCCCCACTTCCCAGGAACTAGTTTCTTTAGCCTCCTCCACAGCGCCGCGCGCAATGAAAACACCGCGAAGCCCAACGCCCCGACACCCGCCCGCACCTCTGAAGGGCGAGACGCCCTCAGTCTCCCGTCCTCCGTCCTCGCGGGTTCGCTCACACTTGCAGCACCAGCGGCCCACACGAAGGCGGTAAGTTCGGGGAGCAGCTACAGACAAAGATAAGCAGACATCGACCGTTATCACTTTTCAAACTTGCCGCCTCTCGCCGGAAGTCCCGCCCCTTTCCGCCAAGTCCACTTCCACCGGCGCCGGAGGCCGGTTGGGCTCAATAGACTCAAGGCGGTGGAATTTGAGTTGTGATGGAGGGAGCGGGGTTCTAGGCGGAACCATAGTTTGGTGGAGCTGGCGTCTAGTCGGAACCTCGACTCCGCCCGGAAGTGGGGAGTGCCGCGGTTTGGGGGCGGAGTTCGGGTTTGGGCGTTTAACTCTGTTGTGAGTGACTTCTGCCAGAGCTTGCATCGTGGTCGCAACCCAAGGTGAAGGGTAGCAGCAAGTGGAAGAGACTTTGCTAAGCTTAGAGTGACAAGGGAGAAAGAACGTGGGGCTGTCAATAAAACAAGGGTAAGTGATAGAGTTCCAAAGTGATAATAATTTGAAAATGAGTCGGGCTCTGTGTTAGGCGCTTTTTAGGCTTTATCTTATTTAGGCTTCCTTAAAGGGGAGGGGGGGGCTCGTAGATATTGCCATTTTCCCCTCAAATGAGGGCTCTAAGTCAGAGAGAGTATACAGCTGTCCCAAAGCTGCGCATGTAGTTCATAAGTAGCATAGCCATACACACATCCTGGGATTCTGCGTTCATCAACGACTTCGAGAGGTGGCAGGGACCTAACAATCCATCTGGTCAAATTTTCTCACTTTTACAGGTAAGAAAACTGGGAAAAGTGGGCAAAGTGATCTTTTCCAAGGCATACATTAAGTGGCACTGCCTGGAGTCAAACCATGGTCTCCTGGACTCGGCTTCTCCCTCTGCCTGTTCATCCTTCCACAGGGGCCAGGCCCCTTCACGTGCTTTCCACCACTGAACTAGTCCCCAAACTTGCACATCTTCAGACGAGGGGCTCTAAACTCTCTCTGTTTTTTTTTTCTTTGATGGGAGGCCAAGGGTGGAAACGCTGCACTTAATCCGCCAAAAATCGAGGTCTTGCAGCAGAAGCCATGGCAGGCCTAGCTGTCTGGGAAAAACTGTTACGTTTTGTTGAGGTTTGGGACGCCAGAGGACATCATAGGACTTGTATTTGGCCACACGGTTGAGCATCCGGTAAGGGCTGTATGTTGAACGGAGAGCCTGGATTGAGTGATGTGAAAATAGTGCTAGAGTGGTTGTGTTGAAAATAGACACAAATTCTGGTGCTTTCTTGTGTGAGTTGAAAAACTAAACCTATAGTTATAGAAGGCCATACCAGTTTTAAAGAAAAATTCATTTCATATTCAGTAGTTTAGTGCTTTCTTTTTTACTATGTCTGCTACTGATATAAGTCTCAAAGTCAGAATCCAGTAAAACTGAAAAGGAGGTTAGGAAAATGGGCTTTAAAAAAATATCAAAGGCCAACTGGGATGACTTATGGCCTTTAAGGCAGGAGGATTGCTTGAGCCCAAGAGTTCGAGGTCAGCTTGGGCAACATAGTGAGAAAAGAACCGTCTGATTGGCACTTGTCAAGTCAAATTGATTACTTATGCATGTACATCCTCCACTACACCTCATCTCCTTAGAGGCAGGGAAGGGGAGTGTAGCACAGTGGCTGAGAGCACAGCTCTAGAGTCAGAAAGAGTTAAATTTAAATCCCTGACTCTACCACTTACTGCCTATGTGGACTTAGGCATGTTATTTAACCTAACCGAGCTGGTTTCTACATCTTTCAAATAGGAATAACAGTCCTATCTGCTTTATAGGGAATCATATAGTGCTTAATAAAGTGCCTGGCAAAATTGTGAGCACACAATAAACATTGTCTGTCATTTTGACTAGCATGGCACATGCTCGCTGGTAAAATATCTTGCAAATGGCAAGTGCTCAGCAAAAGTCTCAACTGTTGTTGAGAATCTAGACAAGAAAAAAGTGACCTATGTGAAAGCCAAGATTAGAATGGACAGTATAGAAAAAGAAAAATCAGGTGAAGGAAGAAAAGAGCAGGACAAGTATTCTGTTGTATCCTCCGTTAAAATTGTTTATTTGGGGATTAACTTTATACTATTGATATGGTAAATTGATAGATATATTGGAATTAAGATTATTTGTGAAAAATTGAGTATTTATTTAAATTATCTTAATTACAGTGGTAAATGTGACTTTTTAAAAATGTTGCTTGCCCGATACTGGTCTGTGGGAGGTGAGGAATGGAGCAGAAGAATTCTCATCTTAGACTTTCTAGAGTTTTGTCATCATCTATAAAAACACCAACGACTGCAGAAAATTAAACTCTATTCATTCTGATTGTAGTACCATATTTTTCTGCTTCTGTATACCCTCACTTGCAATATGTCTGCCCTTCTATTTTATTTTCCCTGTTAGCCCTCCTGATATTACTTCCTTCCCAGCCTAGACTACATGGTTTATCAGTATCTAAACTCCCTGTGTTCAATGCCTCTGACCCAGGTGCCTGTCAAAACCTTATCCCTGAATCCTCTTCTATAAATCCCCAGCTGGGTACACTGGAGGAAAAAAACACACACACACAAAGTGGCATACAGCAGATTCTTGTTCTCCAACTTGAGCTGTCAGCCTGATTCCTGACAGTTCATTAATTTATCATTAGTCAATTCACTGTTCTATACTTCCAGTGATTTTTTTAAATAAACTTTACCACTTTCCTCAATCCCCTTCCCAGCCTCAACTCCTCTCTTTAATAGAAAGTGACCAGAGTAGTCTTAAAGGTATTTGTCAAGCATGTAACACATTCTACGTCTTGTTGTACTATAGTTTGTTGTACTGTTTCCGGTCTAATTTGAATTCCATGTTCCTTTTTAGACTGTACTTTGGAAGCTGGATGGCAGACCTGTAAAGGCTGAATGGAACTTTGAGTGACACGATGGGGATGTTCAGTGAGACCATGACAGCCTGCAACTGAACTCTATCCTTAATGTGATGATGTTCCTGTGATAGCTAGTGCTTTAAACAGATCTCTTTTTTATTTAAGTGACAGGGGTTCCAAATTGTTAATTCTGTTTTGTTTTTTAGCAGATCAGTAAGGACAAAAAAGTGATTGACCCAGTCTAATGTGGTAGGAATAAGTGAAATACTAAGGCTGGGTCCCTTGCTCTACTTCCTCTCAGGCACCCATTCATTTGAATAGAATTCTCTAAGGGCCACAGACATTTCTAGTACCTTCTTCCAGATAACAGAAAATTAAAGCCATCATGTAACATGTCCTACCTCCCTGCTCTGTCAATGCCTTATTTGTCTACCTCAGAAGATAAATTGTACTCCCTCCACCATTGTATTGCACTGATCAGACCCTCCTTGAAACTTGAGTCCTTTTGCATCTCTCCCATTTTCTCCTACCTGTCTCCTGCTTCTTAGTGATCTTTTTCTCTGCCATCTCTCTAAACATTACTTCCTGAAGTTCCAACCTTGAGTTGTTTTTCTGTCTGTCTCTCCCTCTTGGACAGTATTCATTCATTTTTATAATCTATTTACTCATGGATCCTAAAACTACTACTATCCTGGTATCTCCCTTGAGGTTTAGACTTTTGGAAAGGCACATGAACCCTTCAAACTAATTTGTCCTTCCTTTCATTTCCATTACCAATTCTGTCTCACTGCCTCCAGCCATAATTACCCACCTACACCACCAAATCTGTCTTGTAAGTGGCGACCAGAATGACCGGTCTCAAATGTAAATCTGACCATGTCACTTGCCTCCTTAAATTTCACCACCTTCCTCTCCAGTCACCTTGAAGATAGAGTCCAGCTCCATAATCTGGTATGCTAGGGCCTCCATCACCTTTCTACTGTTCCCTTCCCAGTCTTGTCTCTCATCATACCCACTTGCCATTCATGAGGCTGTTTACACTTTGAGAACTTTCCTCGTTCTTGTTGACTTTGTCTGGAGTGTTCTTATTTTCTTTGCCTGATCTTCCTTATCTTATTTTTTAGAGTTCTTTGAAGAAGACTTCTTATTCTGTAGTCTGAGTTACTTGACTTTTTCTCTTATTTTCTCGACATTCACCTACTCATTCAAAAGTATTCACTGAGCCCTTACTTTGTGCCAGACACTGACCTAAATTCTGGGAATAAAATAGTGAACAAGCAAATGTGGTAATAACCAATCTAATAACTGCTCTGACAAAGCTTACATTCTCATAGGGAAGGAAGACAAATGATTTTTAAAAAGGAAAAAAAGCAGTTTAATCTGGCTCCATGTTTGAGAATAGTCAAGAATTGAATGTGTGAAAGGATAGTGTTCTAGATAGAGATGGCCATGTTTTTGAAGGCCTAGGCATGAAAGAACATAGTCTGGGAACTGAGAGAATCTAGACAGGGCTGGAGAGGTAAACAAACCAGATTATGAAGAGCATTATTACTCATGTAAAAGAGTTTAGATTTCTTAAGTCTAATGGTTTGGTAAGTTTAAATAGTTCCAAATGATTAGGTTTGTATTTAGATGATAAATCTGTCTACCCTAAGAAAAAGGACACAAAGAGTGGCAATACCAGAGGGAGACAAACCAGTTAGGAGATCATGACAGTAATAGAGGGAGAAGAAGGTGTAAGCTTATACTAGGGTATTACCGGTGTATATATTCATTCTAGGAATGAATCCCAGAAGAATTTAGGAAGAAGTATTAAAACTTGGTAACTGATTGATTTGTGAGGGTAGAAGAGGAAGAAATCAAGCATGGAGTTCCACAGACAAGCTTTGGTGAAGATAAGGAGTACCCAATTTGCTATCATGTATCCACAGGTTATTTCTTTTACGTTAGATGCTTGATAAATACCCATGGATGAGGTTTTCTGGCCTGAGCATCTAGATTAGTCTCTGACTTAAGTTATATAGAAGCAAACTCACTTGGGAAGTGACTGGTGATTCATGGCAATTAGATACATGATTCTGAAATTCAAGAAATGAGGACTGCGGTGAATTCTTTACATACTTTAAAAAAAGTTAACATTATATTGAAATGATCTGTTTTGTGTCTGTCTCCACTCCTACACAAGGCTGGGTTTTAATGACATTTGATCTTCTAGCTCCTAATACCATGCCTGGTACAAACTGGGTACCCAATTAATGGTTGTTGAACTGAACTACTTTTTAAGAATGGTGTATCTAACTTCATAAAGGACCCGATGCTGTTCCCGCTCCCCAGAAAGGCAGCATGAGGCAAGTGTTTTCTGGCATTCAGCCTACAGGAATACCCCACCTGGGCAATTACCTGGTAGCCATTGAGATCTGGGTGAGGTTAAGATGAGTATGACTGTGTTGTACAGCATTGTTGACCTCCACTCCATCACTGTTCCCCAAGACCCCGCTATCCTTGACAGAGCATCCTGGACATGACTGCTGTTCTTGCCTGTGGCATAAGCCCAGAGAAAACATCCTTTTCCAACAATCTCAGGTGCCTGAACACATACAATTAAATTGGATCCTTTCCTGCGTGATCAGACTACCTCAATTGCAACACTTACACCAGTGGAAGGTAAAGACTGCCAAGCAGAAACATGATGGAACGGTGGGCCTGTTCACATACCTAGTATTCCAGGCAGCCAACATGTTCCTGTTAGAGAGGGTCAAGTCCAGCACATGGAACAAGTCCATGATCTAGCACAAGGTTTTAACAAGTATGGGGAGTTATTTCTGTTGCCCAAGCCCATTCTAACATTGCTGAAGAAGGTAAATCCCTTTGTGACCCTTCTGCCAAAATGTCAAAATCAGACCCTGACAAAGTGGCCACTTTAAGTGGCCATCCAAATAACAACGCAGAGGAGACAGTGCAGGAATTCCACAAGGCTGTGACAGACTTCACCTTGGAGGTCACCTATGACCTGGCCAGCCAGGCAGATGTCTCCAACATGGTGACCATCCATGGTGCAGTGACCGGGCTCACAGGGGAGGAAGTAGTCCACTGCAGCTCATGCCTGGACACAGCTTGCTACAAGCTGGTGGTAGCAGGTTCTGTGTTTGAGAAATTTGCTCCAAGTGAGAGTGAAATTGGAAAACTGAAGATGGACCAGGACCATTTAGGGAAGGTTTTATATGTTGGGCCTGCAAAAGCCAAAGAATTAGCATACCCCATGCCAGGAGGTGAAGAAAGTGGTGGGGTTTCTATAGGAAATTTCAATAAATCCTAAAATAGCCTTTGTGTCTTACAGTTTGTGCACTCCGCTAAAGACAGATTTCTTCAAAAGCGAATAGTTACAGTTTAGGGACATTTAATTTGGAATAGCTAATAATGATTTCATTTAATGAATAATGCTGTGTAACTTTCTTTTTTTTTTTTTTTTTTTTTTTGAGTTGGAGTCTCACTCTGTGGCCCAGACTGGAGTGCAGTGGCCGTTCCCGGCCACTGCAGCCTCAACTTGCTGGGCTCCGACGATCCTTCCGCCTCAGCCTTCTGAGTAGCTGGTATTACAGGCACGTGCTACCATGCCTGGCTGATTTTTTTTTTTTTTTTATTGTAGAGATGGGGTCTCACCAAGTTGCCCAGGCAGGTCTCGAACCCGTGGGCTCAGGCAATCCACTCACCTCAGCCTCCCAAAGCGCGGGATTACAGGCTGAGCCACCGAGCCTGGCCGCTGTGTAACTTTCAAACAGAACAATGTTCTAAATCCCATCAACAAAATGCTGTGACTAAAAAACCCCCCAAAATTAAAGCACATCTGTCTGAATTCCCAAATAATAACAATAAATAAAAATGGTGTATCTAATAGGAAGGGAGGAAAACTGGAAGTCAGAGTGTAGCAAATTTTTATTGTATATACTTAGGCTCCTTTCGTCTTCCCCTCATATACTTAAATTTCCTATAAGAAATAAAAAGATGACAAAAAAGTGTTCTATTAAATTTGTGTGGACTTAAAACTGAAAATAGTGCTCCAACTATGGTCTAGTCAGTGTAGAGTGGGATATTAAAATACTATCTGCAATCATATTAACATTTTTGACCATATCACATTGCTGATTTACAAATTGGTTGTATTATTAATGCCATAATTCAGTTCACTTATATGAATCATGAATAATACTAATTGATGTCTTTAAAAGATGTAACTATGAATAGCAGGCTAGAGTGAAATTATGAACATGCATTTTATATTAAGGACATGGGCCATAAAATCTATGAAACTATGTTCTCTATTAGCTGTAGATAAAATCTTTAAAAGCAAAGGAGTGATATCATTTTATACCTACTTAACTTTTTTTTTTTTTGAGTTGGAGTCTCACTCTGTTACCCAGACTGGAGTGCAGTAGCCGTTCCTGGCCACCGCAGCCTTGACCTGCTGGGCTCCGGCGATCCTTCCGCCTCAGCCTTCCAAGTAGCTGGAATTACAGGCATGCGCTACCACGCCCGGCTGATTTTTTGATTTATTGTAGAGATGAGGTCTCGCTGCCCAGGCGGGTCTCGAACCCGCAGGCTCAGGCAATCCACTCACCTCAGACTCCCAAAGACATGGGATTACAGGCTGAGCCACCGAGCCCAGCTCCTACTTAACTTTTAATGAGAGGAAATTATGTATTTCTCCTGCCAGTCCAGATGTTTGACTTGCTAACATTACAGGTAAGTTTAATATGTAAAATTTTATTCACGGTGCTAGAATATCTTTGCACATCTTAACTGTGGTTAATTGAGTGGACAGGTAAAAATATATAATTTTTAATACATTTTAAATTTAGTCTTGTGTATAATTTTATCTAAATGGTTGGGACCATAGATATACTGAAAATATTTAAAGAAAACTAAATTCAAGTAACTTCTGTGTATACGGCATATTCACTGGGTGGCGCTGTTTCATTAATGTTAACCTTACACACTTTGAAAGTTTTATCTCCTTTTTACATAAGTAAACAGAATTAGAGTGATAAACGTTGAACGCAATGTTCTGGATGAAAAAATTAGATTTCAAATTTATTGACTTTAAAATACATGTTTAGAGTTCGGGCTTAAGAAGAAAAATGGCACTGAATTCAAAGTGGCTGTCTCCTCAGCTGTGTTCACATTTGTTAGTGGTTTTGGAAACTGATCTACACATTTGCAATAATTTAAACAGTATCTGTGTTAAGGACTTAAGTGGACTTTTTAATTTAAAACCATAAAATACCCAGCTTCTGATAATTTGTGATGAGTACTAAACCAGATACAAAGAAGCAGAAAATTGGTGTGTTATACTCCACCCTCTAGTATCTTCCCTATGGTCACAGTGAGCTCTATTCCTTTAAAACAGTTAATATAGAGAACCTTAGGAATTACCAGCCTAAACAAATTGGATGTTGCTAAAAGTAT